CATTTACATAAATTTTCAAAACCGAACCAATACAAATCCAACAAGATGTGAAGTGCGCCGAACCATCTCAGGCCTCCAGCGTGAACATGTCACACGCCAACGCACATATAGCTGCGTGTGCCAAATGTATCATGTTGTCAGCCAAATGCGTCACACCCATGAGACTTGAAAGCGCTGGCAATCACTAGGTACTCCATATGGACACGAAACGCCACGTTCACACGCAAAAACTCTGCTGCAATTCAGACTACTCTTTACATCTGACAAAGCTGGGAATGGAGCGCTGCGCAGGTGCCGTTGAAGCCAACGAAGATGAAATCTGCCAAGTATATTCAGTTCCCAGATGAAATCTCCAAAGTGTGTCCAAAGCTCCTTCAAGAGCCTGGCTCCACTTCCGTACCATTGGTCAATTCCGCAAAGCGCATTCAGTGCCAAGACTGAATCTACAAAATGCGCCTAAAGTTCATTTACAACAAAGCAAAAATCTAGCTCACAAGTCAGCTATACTTCTATTTTACAAATTCTCAATCTAGTCTTACCGTGTCAGCTCCAACATGAAATCTGCGAAGTGCGTCCAAAGCCGGGCCCCGCCAGGCAATGTGTCAGAGAGCCAAACCTCAGTTCCGAGCAGCGATGCAACAAGTTGAGGCGCCCGTGACCAGGCAACAGGTGTGCGCAAGGAATGAAACATGGCTGTAAGGTTGAAGCAGCCATAAGAAAGACTGCGCGAAAGCTAGAATAATGAACAAGGTTCAGGCCTGCTGGACAAAGACCTGAGACGTAAGCCAAAAAACGCTGCTTCTGTGACTATAAACATGCGCGCGCGTCTGCAGCAAATATAGAGCCACAAGGATGTGGAGTGGATTGTTTTTCTACGGGGCTGGAAATATACCAGATGCGAAGCACGAATTTCAAATTTAATTACCACGCACATCATGCAGACAAGGCCTGCAAGAAGCGTCTTTGTTCAAAAGGCAACAACTGAACAAAAGCATTCAATCCCTTCCAATCACTCACACCAACTTCACGTACATTCACTGCTCCAAGTTGTAGAAGTTCCACATGCAAGGCTTCCTGCTTGGCCTTGGGAATTCTTGCTCTGGCACCAAGCTCGGCAAGACCTTCCACAATACTTTCAAGAGCTGGGAGAGAGGGCTCGATCGTGGGAAGAGATTGGAGGGCCAAACACGCATCTGCTTGCGTCGCGCCTTCGCAAATCCACTGGCACATACATGGCACACAGGGCTCTGTGCGGCGAAGATCTTTCAGGACCGCATGGCATGTGAAGACCTGCGTCCGATTCTTCATGTGGTGAACATCCTCCTCCGACACTGCACCCCACGGCAGCCACAATTCTTTGTCTTTGGCAGTGAGACAGCATCCTTTTTGCCACGCAAAGTCTTCATTGCCATGTTTGAACGCCTGGCTTTGTCGAATCTCGAACGGGTGCCCGTTGAAAAGGGACAGGAAGGTGCTCACATCTATGGTTGCCTGGGCATATTCAATAGGACGGAAATCGTCAAAAAACAGGAAGCGCTTGTTCTTGGAGAGGTTGACAAGCGGGAAGCTGCTGTTAAGGGCGGGTTTGTGGAACACCTGGGAATGGCCGAACAGGTGATCAAAGGGAAGCACAAGCGTGGTTTTTCCACTGTTGCTCGGCCCGACGATGAGTGGGCAACGGGCTGTTTTCGAAGGTCCAGCGACGATGACCGCACGAAGTGCAAATGCCAATTCTGATGCGTCCAGTGTCTTGGAATTGGCTGCAAAGAATTGCTGCGCCGCTTGCGCGTATCCACAACCCTGAGCCTTGTAAGGGCACGCTTCTTCAGCTTTCCGGCACAACAACGCCCATTCTGTTTCCTTTTCTAATTTCGCAGCCTCACGAGCTTCCTGCCAATCGAAAGCTTCTTGCACATACTCTCCCAGTTTGCGCTGGTTTGCACAAACCCATTCCTGCATTTTGTGGGCGCCATGATCCTGCGCGTAAGCCATGACATCAGCTGGACTTTTCAGTCCCCTGGCGACAATGATCGCGGTGAGGTCCAGCTTGGTAAACTTCGCTTTTCTCTTGCTCTCTCCACAAAGACGTTTACGCTCAGCCTTCTCATTTCTTTGTCGCCAAGCGTGTGCATTCCATGGCTCTTGGGATGCCTCACACAAACACCACGGGCCTTCACCAGCTGCAGACCACTGGTACGGCGCTTCATCAACCACTGGCTTCTTACACGTGGCAATTGCTCCATATCTCACTGCAGACCAAAACTGCTTGTGGGAAGATGACCAATGACTTGCCATACGGTGTCTAATCCGAAGGGTTCGCTTTGCTGGCAGCCAACGCCTCTCAAGGGCCAAGAGAACTGCTACATGGAAATGCCTCTCTCCATCTTCATGCGCTTCTTGGAAGACAGCCAATTTCTTTACTATGTTGCCATTGGCATTACCACGGCGTCCACCACCTTCCATGAGAGGGTCATTGAAGGCATCTCGAACACAGTTACCTATGTGCTCTCTTGACATCTGCTGGATGTCTGCCAGATCTGATGTGTCCAGAGTGCCGGGAAGGACTCGGGCAATGGTGCAAAGGTAGACCATTTGGGCGCGGTCAGAACTACACAGCTCTGGTGGCAAGCTCTCGGAAAAAGCTGATGCCTGCATGGTTTGCTGCAGGATTTGGGTCACTTCGGCTTTGTACGCTTCTAGAGCATCCACATCAAGGCCTAAGTGCTGCGTGAGCTTTGCGCGCATGTCCTTCAAAGAAACCGCCTCCAAATCCAAATTCGGCAGCAACTCTTCCGCAGCGCCCATCACACGCGCAGCCAATCCATTCCAACTTTGCTCCATGACTTCTCCTTCCCCGTTCATGTTTGAGCGCTTGAGCCAAAGAAACTAAAAGGACTTGCCTCGTTAGTTGGTCGGTTCTAGGAGGAAAACTGCAAAGCGTGTGCAAAGTTCAGCCACAGTAGAGTAAGCGCCCCACTTGACAGGAAGCTGGTCCAGATCCAAGACCTCGACTGATCTGATCAGTTCCAAAATGAGATCTGCAAAGTGTCCAGTTCCAGAGCAAACCCCAGGTGTAGCAGAGAAAGCCTAGAGATCTAGACGCATTGGGGTCCAGACAGGTGATGGTGGTGATGAAGGTGGAGATGAAAACACTTCCACCTTCTGAGCTGCAATCGGATGAACCATTTCTAAACACATGTCCCACACCCTACGTTTAGACCGGCCAGCCCCGCCAGCAACATAGAGACGTAGACGGCGCAGTGTCTTGACATTGCATGTCCCAAAACACAGGGCCCCAAAGCGGGCGCCCAACATAGCGCAGCGTCTAGAAATTGCACGTCTAAACACAGGCCCCGCCCTAGGTTTAAACCGGCCAGCCCCGCAGCGGGGTGCCTAACATGGACGGCGCAGTGTCTAGAAAATGCAGGCGCAAAAACACATTCCCCAGGTCGACACCGGCCAGCGCCAAAGCGCGCGTCAACGTAGAGGCCACAGTGTGCGTAAATTGCATGTCTCAACACAGGTCCCACGCCTTACGTTATGACCGGCCAGCCTGAAGTGGGCGCCTAACATAGAGGGCGCAGCGTCTAGAAGTTGCCTGTCTCAACACAGGTCCCACGCCCTAGGTTTATACCGGCCAGCCCCGCAGGGGGTGCCTAACATAGACTGCGCAGTGTCTAGAAATTGTGTTTTCCAAAACACAGGGCCTAGGTTTATTTCGGCCAACCTCGAAGTGGGGCCTAACATGGAGGGCGCAATGTCTAGAAATTTCACTTCCAAAAACACATTTCCTAGGCTTTTACCGGCCAGCCCAGAAGGGGGCGCCGAACATGGAGGGCGCAGTGTCTAGAAATTGCACGTCTAAACACAGGCCCCGCACGCCCAGTTCAGCCCCGCAAGGGGGTTCCTAACAAGGCGGCGCAGTGTCTAGAAATTGCATATCCAAAAACACAGGGCCCCAAGTGGGCGCCTAACAGAGGGCGCAGTGTCTATAGAAATTGAGACGTCCACCCTAGGTTTACACCGGCCAGCCCCGCAAGGGGGGGGCCTAACATAGACTGCGCAGCGTCTAGAATCTAGAAATTGCATTTCCAAAACGCCAAGCAAATAAAATTGCAAAGGCAGCAGCGAGCACGTGCCGGGCAGACGTTTCAGTAAGCGCTGAAGGCCGGGCGCTACCATCAGCCAAACTATCGGTGAATGGTGGGCTAAGATTCGACAGATTCGCCTGGGCGCACGGGCGACAAGTGGAGACAAGAGTCAAGTGTAGAATCATCCGGCCAAGAGCATCTTCACCTTGAGCCTGTTGAGCCAAGAACTGAAACAAACCCAGAAGGTCCGAGTTGATCACAGCGAGCTGGAACGCTTTGGGCCGTAGACTGTTTGACAGTTCGTCTCAGGTCCCACGTCACAGATTTGCCGTGTTTTCCCAGTCGTAATCAGTCGTAATCCAGTCGTGATCCTAGTCGTTATTACCAAAAACGCAGCGTTTACTGAGGATTTGGCTAGAAAGCATGAGTTGAAAGAAATTCAATACAATTCCTTCTTGGAAGAAACTGATTCCGACTGGGCTTATGTGTGTGAGGGTTGATTCCGACTTGGATTACGACTGATTAGGACTGGTCAAAAACAGCGCTTTACAGCCGGCTAAAAGCTTTGACCTGCGAAACCAGGCGAACGTGGACAAAAAACAGGGTGGAAGTGACAAGTTGCATTGCAACTGCGCACATGTCAACTGTCCAAGACTGCAGTTACTGCAACCCGACACACGCCTGTCTAGAGGCTGGGGCCACCACAATTTAACCTAAGTCCTGAAAACTTCCCACAAAGTGCTTTGAGCCCACGCCGCGGCAGCGAAAACCAGTGTCTGTCAACTGCTGTTGCCTCTAAGTGGAAGACTTCTGCTGCAAACATGTCCAAGAAGTGTGCTGCGCGCATCCATTTTTGGTCCCACGAAAGGAACGTTGAAACGTGGACGGGTTGGCAGGCCCTCCGCAGTTTCAATCAATGGTGCGCGGCGCTGCTCCAAAGGTTGGAGGTAGCTTCCGCCGCTTGGGTGAACTAGGTGGGGTGACAGGGCCAGGCCTAACTTGCCCACGCTCTTTTTGGAGCCTGTGGCTTTTGGGTTGCCACAGAACATATGAAAGATGGTCCGCTTTACTGCGCTTAGGGAAGATGGCGCTAGCTTCCTCTGCGGTCAAGGGATTGTCTCCAAACTCCACACCACGAGCAAACCCGAAAGCACCACGCAGGCGGTTGGAAACGCGCCGTTGTTGTTCTAGAATTCCGGTGGATAGGAAGGCGCCCCGCCAACTTGCCGTGGCTAACGCGGTCTGAATAGCTTCAAAAACTATTTCCAGCCAACAAAGGTCGGTCACAACACCACCAGGCAAATTTGATCGCCGTTCTCGCCAAATGTCCCGGAACGAACGCTTAAATTTGGCAAACACATGAGTATCACAGGGTTGGAGGTAGGCTGTCAATTTTGCTGGCACATAAACCAGTCGAATGCCACATCGCCGGGCATGCACGAAAATGGATTGGTGTATATGCGATGGGTTCACATCCACCAGCAGAATTACTGTTCTGTCACGAACAAGGTTCCCCAGTGACTTGGCCAGTAAACTCAGCCACTTCCTCATGGTCTCATGTGAATTCCACGACGACTTCAACCGCCAGCAGACCATGTTAGCAGGCAATTTGCCGGCGATAGTGTCCAACAAAGCCTTGCTTACTTGACGCTCATTTCCCAGAACGACTTGAGGGAGTTGCCCTTGGACTCCAGCGTCGTGAGTTACGCAAGCGAAATACGACATGCAGGTACGACGATCACCCAAGGTTGCACGGTCCACTGCTTTCTGCTGAGAAGCAGAGAACTTGGCCACGTAACCACGGATACATGTGGGATGCCGCACAAGCGCGGTCTCATCCATGCGCACAAGCGCGGTCTCATCCATGTTGATGAAAAGGGGAGGTCTGTCTGCAGAAGCTTCCCTGGAAGCAAGATTCACCCAACGAAAAAACGCGGCTGCCTGCGCCAAAGGAAGGGGCTGAGAACGGGGCCGCAGAACGGACCCAAAAGCAGGGCTACCATGTTTCCTTTTGAAAAGGAAGGTGAAAAAAACGGTGCCACCATTTGGACCTAGATTCGGGGCCGCAGAAAGCGGACCAGAAGTCTTTTTTGGCAACAGCAACAAACAACATGATGCACTGAAAGGCTTTGAAACCACAACAAAGTTGACCAACCCTACCGGCCTTAGATCTTCGCTCCTCCACTGGTACATAATCTTGCGGTCGTAGAACACCAAAGCTACAGCCCCATCGCCTTCGAAACCTGGCCAACCACTTCCGCTGCTTCCTTGGAGCACCAGAGGCCAAGCTGCACAAACATTTTCGAATTTTCGGAGGGGCTTCCTCAGCAATGTGCATTGGGATCTGCGCTAGCACTTGTTCCCGAGATGGCGCAACAGAATGCTCTACGTTTTGGACAGCAATCCAGGCCGCCAGCCGGTGTTCCATCACGTACTTGTGAGCACACAACAATTCATCAAATTCAAAATGACTGAACGGGTCTTTTGCCAACGCAGCCACAGCCGACACAGGCGCTTGCGCGTAAGCCTCCTCAACGTCTGCTAACAAATGTTTTCTGTCGCTGCATTGCTCAAACCTGCGCCGGCCTCTCCTCTGCCACCTGTGCCCCCACCCACGACCCAGAACAAAATCGGCTGCAACTCCAGCCAAGCGCCCTGCCAAGATGTAAACCATTACACAAACAGAATTGTCAGGCCTGCACCGAGACACCACAGGAGCAGGCCGCGGCACAGCCGCAGCTTTGGCCCTCTTGTATTTCTTGCTAGCAGCGTCAATGCGCTTGTTCAACTCCGAGAAGTCTTGCCGGGTCCACATCAGCAGCTGCAATTGGCTCTTTCAATGGGGGAAAATGTCGACCCTTGCACATGTGGAATCCCTTGTCTTTTGAAGCACTTTTTTATGAACCCCGTTGCACAGCCCAACATGAAAGTACTCAGTAAGTCGTGTCAGGGTGGGAACCAAAGCCTTCCCACATGTGTGTTTGGCACTGATGCGCTTGGACGATTGTTGTTGAGCAACTGAAGCCGGCGACAAAAGTGGTTGAGAACTCTTGCTTTCAAAAGAACAGAAGCTACTCACAGCAGTGCTCCCCAGTGAGCAAGAGCTTGCTAAACTGAGGAGGCCCCACCTAGAGTGTCCAGTTTTCCTGCGTCAGCAAA